GCCAGCCCTTTTTTTTTTTTGTTCTTTTCCATTTGCCCAGCCCATTTTAGGCTTTAGGGTTTAAGATTTTTTTTTTCCAGCCTATTTGCCCAGCCTTTTTTTTTTAATTTCTAATTTTTTTCCTACACAATTTCTTACATATTTTTCACTATTTCATACTATCTTACCTTATTTTATTTTAATTATTCACATTCCATACTATAGCCCTTTGGCTCTCAGTTGGAGATGATTTTTTGTCACAGGGCTATACTTGACCTATGGTCCTTCTAGTCCTTTGGTTGGAGATGGTAAGAAATATGACTCTGCACTGTTCATTAAAATATTAATTTATTGGAGGGTCAAAGGGCTAAAACGAGACATCTGGCCCTCATTCGGTTGGAGATGGCCTAACAAAGGCTGGTTTTTAAGTTCGGAGTCGAAGCTAGGCTCGGAGTATTAACGTTGGGGGGGTGTTTAATGTTTGTGGGATGAGGTTTGGATTTTTTAAGCACGTGTCATAATATAAAGGGAAAAAGACTGTTTACTACCCTCATGTTTCGTAGTTTTCAACATTTAGTACATCAATTTTTTTTCGTCCTAGAGTCATACCTAAAGTGTAAATTTTGGGACAGTCTCATACATCTGTTAGTCAAATTGTTAAGTGTTCTGTTAACTATGACGTGGCGCCCATGTGGACAATGACTAGGCGCCACATGGGTCACCACGTGGATTTTTTTTTAAAGAAGGGGTTTTCACTTTTTTTTAGGGGTTCAAAAAAAATTTCCCGCCAAAAATTTTGAAATTTTTTTTTTTCTTTTTCTTCTTCTTCTTCTTTTGGGCAGAATCGATTTTTTTTTCTTCTTCTTCCTCCTCCTTCTTCTGGACAGATTCTTTTTTTTTTCTTCTTCTACCTCCTCCTCCTCCTCCTCCTCCTCCTTCTTCTTCTTCTTCTTCCTCCTGGGCAGATTCGTTTTTTTTTTTCTTCTTCTTCCTTCTTCTTCTTCTTCTTCTTCTTCTGGGCAAATTCGTGTTTTTTTTTCTTCCTCCTCCTCCTCCTCCTTCTTCTTCTTCTTGGCAAATTCGTTTTTTTTTTATTCTTCTTCTTCTTCTTCTGGGCAGATTTTTTTTTTTTCTTCTTCTTCTTCCTCCTCCTCCTCCTCCTTCTTCTTCTTCCTTCTTCTTCTTCTTCTTCTTCTTCTTTTGGGCAGATTCGTTTTTTTTTTCTTCTTCTTCTTCTTCTTCCTCCTTCTTCTTCTTCTTTTGGTTTTTTTTTTGTTTTTCCTTCTTCTTCTTCTTCCTGAGCGTGGAGTCAAAGATGGTGATGGGAGGGTGGGCATGGGTGGGATTGAAGATGAAGTTTTTGTTTGTTTTTTTTTTTAAATAAATAAATATATTTTAAATTTTATTTATTTTTAAAATTTTCACGTGGATGACACATGGCGCCTAGTCATTGTCCACATGGGCGCCACGTCACAGTTAACGAGAGACTTAACAGTTTGACTAACGGATGTATGAGACTGTCCCAAAATTTACACTTTAGGTATGACTCTGGGACGAAAAAAACTTGATGTACTAAATGTTGAAAACCACGAAACATGAGGGTAGTAAACAATCTTTTGCCCTAATATAAATTGTTAACACATATGATCAATTTGCATTCCAAACTTTATATAATTGGAAAGAAAAATACTATGAGGAGTGTAGAATGAGATTTTTAGAGTGCTAATAACAATTTTCTTCTTTAAAGACATGAAACTATTTTGTGGCACACACATCCATTAATCTTTTTTTGAACATATAATAGATCTTACTTTGATCTCAAAAATTAAAAATATAATCTCACTTTAATTTGGTTAACAATGAGATTAGTGGTGGTTGAATGTCAATTTGATGAACAAGGCTCTATAACAACATAAGTTGAGAGAAAATTTTAGTAGATTTTATGATGAATTATAGGAGGGCGATGAGTTTTATTGGGTTGTGATCTTTTTTATTCGTAATCTGAATAACTTTATATATTTAAAAATAATAATCTCGCATACCATTTGATATTTAAAGAGAGTAGCTAAGTGGTGAACTTTATTATATTTCGATTGCCTAACGTGTGTAATGTAAAATGTAAACAGACAGTTGTATGTAGCTATTACGGGGAACATTCTTTTCCAAATATTTATACAAGCATTTAATTATATTTAGGCCTTTGAACAAGTGCGCATTGCATTCATATCTTGATAACAAACTTGATACCTACCAGTACATAACAAAACATGACATGGTTCAAATTAAAGAATTAGGTGAAATTTGTAAGAACAAATGTAAGACCCCAAAACGGGACTTTTAGATAAATTTTGGGCTAAAATTGAAGGTTTATTACTAAATACTCAAACAAATTAGTTGATGGGTTAAAGTTTTACCCGATCAAAAGAAAAATGACAATGTAATGAGTTTTGTAGCTTAGTTATTTAAGAGCATTCTCTTTTGTATTTGGTGATCAATTTTTTTATCTATTTATGATACAAGCTGTATACTACGCGCCATAATATAAATAGAAGAACGCTAAAATATGTATCTTCTCTCCATGTGTATTGTGACACATAAAATATTAATTTGTGTCCCAAATATATGAAAATTATTACCTAAATTAATTTTCTAAAAAAGAAAAAAAAGGCCTAATTTATTTTCATTTTTAATACAAAGGATGGACCAGCGGGAAGAGACTAACGGGAGTAGGCCTGGCATTTTGGACCCAACCCGTTAACCCGACCCGACCCAACCCGTTAATATTTGTATTTGGGTGGATGCTTAACGGGTCGGGTCACTAACGGATGAACCCGTTAACAACCCGTTAAATAACGGGTCACTTTGGGTCAACCCGTTAAACCCGTTAGGACCCGTTAACACCCGCTAGCACCCGTTAGTTGATGATATTTTAGTAATTTTAGTAAAGTCTTAAGAACAAAAAATAAACTTTATGCAAAAAAAAATAATAATAATTGTTAACGGGTGAAACGGGTGACCCGTTAGCTTAACGGGTCGGGTTCGGATGACCCATTAGCTTAACGGGTTGGGTTCGGGTGACCCGTTAACTTAACGGGTCGGGTTCAACCCGACCCAAACCCAATAAACCCGACCCGTTTACATGTCTAAACGGGAGGTCGCGCCGAAAAAACCAGAAAAGTAAAATAATATTTTCCAGAGAGCGCGTGGGCTTTGAATGACAATCCACGTGTCCCGACATAACTGGTTAGTAAGTTCTAGAAAGTCATAGAAGTGACCGGAATCCAAATTGTCGTCCCAATTAGTTGGGAAAGTGTTTAAAGCGACGGATCCGAACCGGCTCACGCAACTCGCAGAAAAGTGAGAACTTCTCTTCGTGGCTTCTTCACGCTAAGGTACGTTCTCTCGTTACAAAACCGCAATTGAAAGCCTAATCGTCATCCATCAGCCTTTCAATTGTTTAATGGAATTTGCTTTCCGTAATGCGCTTTATAAATTTTTCAATTTTGTTGAGAATTTGCAGAAAAATTTAAACTTTAAATTTCGGAATTTTGTGTGGAATTTTTGGGGTTTTTGGTTTGATCTGTGGGATCCAAAGCTTAAGGTAGATTGCTGTATGTAATTGCTAGATTTTAATATTTAAAAGGTGTTTTTTGGAGGGTAATTCAGGATTTTGTTCATTGATTTCTGTGATTTGTATGATAATTAGTGTAGATTCGAACAATGTAGCTCCAATTACTGGTTTTGTTTTGCAATTGGGAAATATGTTGATGATGTTACACAAATAAAACTGTTTTGCGTATACAATTTGGTGATTTTTGTGCATTTTGAAGTTTTTTGGTGGTGGTGGTGGTTGAAGCACAGGAGCAAACCAGAAGTACCCTTTTTCCAACTTGTATTAGCAATTTGCAAACTTTAGAATTCGGGCGTTTATATGTCAATTATGGCAATCATAGTGTCCAGCTTTAGCTGCTTATAACTGAATCTGTTATTTTTCTCCCTGAATTTTGGCCCTGATCATGTTTCTTTAATTGTTGTCTTTATCAGTGTGATTGGAATACGCGATCTTCATTAGCTCAATACCCCTCATTTTCGTCTACTGAGCATTTTGATATTGGACCGCAGAGATGGCAGAGGTGTGTACTGTTATATTTGTTGTATTTTGGCTTTTCATTGCGTTGACTTCTTTTCTTGCTTTGCAATGCAGTTCTTTAATTGATGTATTAATATGGTTGCAGGAGGGTCACAAGGTTATTCTAAATGTATATGACCTGAGCCAAGGATTAGCAAGGCAAATGTCCATGGCTTTCTTGGGGAAAGCCATTGAGGGCATATGGTAAGTGTTTTTTGTTCATTGGAATACAAGGAGAACTTCGATATGAAGAAATATTGTTATTTCTGTATTTTCTTCTTAGCAAGGCATGTGTAAAGGTAATTAAACCTTCCATGTGAATTTTCAATTGCAGGCACACAGGATTGGTGGTTTATGGTAATGAGTACTATTTTGGGGGAGGCATACAACATGCTCCTTCTGGGTCAACGCCATATGGGACACCAATTAAAGTGGTAGATTTGGGTGTGACACATGTGCCCAAGGATGTCTTTGAGATGTATTTGCAGGAGATCAGTCCTCGGTATACTGCTGAAACCTATAGTTTGCTTACTCACAATTGCAACAACTTTAGCAATGAGGTCGCTCAATTTTTGGTGGGTGCATCCATTCCGGACTATATTTTGCAGCTTCCTAATGAAGTTATGGGCAGTCCAATGGGAGCTCTTGTTAGTGAGTTATTTATCCTTTAGATACTACTCAGCCCTATTTGATTCTGAAAGCTAATTTATAATTCTTGTTGTTTTCTATTTATTTCCTTTGTTTTCACTACCCCTTAATTTGTATTTGATTAGTGATTAGTGCCATTTGATCTCAGATAATGACTATAAATTGATAGAAGGATTGCAGTTAATGAGAGAACCATGTGGTTAAATACTCAATCATGTGAATTTTCGCTGCCTTTGTTTTGCAGTGCCCATGATACAGAATCTGGAAGCAACGTTGAAAAGTGGTGCTGCTCCTCAAGCTCCACAATTCCGGCCTGCTTCCGTGGTGCAACCAACAACTAATGCTGCGAAACCCATGAGTACTTCGAGCAAAGAGACTGGTGATAAGTCGAAATCTGGAGTGCAGCAGCTCACCAAGTCGGAAGAGCGGGGAGCATCAGGGAGTGCGGTTAAACCTCCCAACAGAGTTGTAGATCCTCTCGGGGATGCTCGCAGTAAGGTGCAAGAGGAGATCTCTGCTGAGTTTGCTGCAATCATGGCAAGTGGAACACTGCGTGCAAGCGAGGCTGCAGCCCTTGCAACGAGAAAAGTGATGCAGAGATATGGTCATGCAGGTTCCACGATGTCACAGAGTTAAAGGGTTTGCGTTGTTTTGAGTACGTAGACCCCTCCGATGGATGACCGATGGATGATCAAACGGTTTTGATATTTTTTATTGAATAATTATTGATCTTGTAGCGTTCATTCGTGGCTTTGTTGTTTCGAAATCTTAATGATTACTTGTAGACATATACTTTGTCCTCAGAAGGGGATCATTTGGATTTGGAGTAATTTGGAATTGAATGGCCTTAGTTAACTGTTATGTGCCTTTAGATTGGAGTGGTCACTTGAATCCTATAAAATGAGCTTGATTTGTAATCGCATTAATCATCAATTGATCCGAGTGAAAGAAATTAAAAGAACTATGGTAATTACGAAGTGTGATTTCTATTTGCGTAAATTACAGTTGCTTAGAATATCACTATCGTAGTTACATTTACAAAAATTCTGAAAAGAGTACAAATATCACACACTTTACGTGTAAAATGTGAAGTATGCTATGAAGGGGCAGCTGAAACCGGCCTTCCCGTGCCCGATGCATTGCGACCTTCACTGGTCTCGCTGAGATTTTCGTTCTCTAACACAAGTACAGCTCCTTTTGGTCTGTTAAAAGCATCAGAAGGAATGTTTATGCCAGCGAATCCGATCATGACAGCCCCTGCTCCAAGATAATCAGCAAAATGAGGAGCATGGCCAGTCATCGAGTCCACAATTGCCGCCAATGGAACCTGGATCGTCAGACCGGCTGTTGCTACCGTGGTGGTTGTTAGAAGAACGGCCTTGGCCCATAAGTAGTCACTCAGAACATTATCCAGCAAACCTAAACACAACACAATTATGATTCAGTACAGGAGAAACACTACATAAAACTCTACAGCATCTGTATGTATCAGTACGCCTCATGTCAACCATTTTCATATCTTGCCCTCGACGTTTATCCATCAAATGATAAGGAAGATACTCGCAGTGCAACTTAGTTGTTAAAAATAAATACGGTTTAGAGTGAGACTAAATTTGACAAAATAAAATCCTGCCGTATCCAGAAGTCTAGGATCGGAGTCTTTAGCATTACTATTGTAAGATTGCACGCATAGATAAATAGAAAAAAGCAGAGCAAACTCCAGTACAGGTAACTCCGAGTTAAACAGAATATAAAGTATAAGTTAAGAACACACCTTTACCAACGATGAGACCAACCTGCTCCCATGTAAGCATATAAAACGGCTCTAGCTTTGAGAAATGAAGTATAAGGGCAACCGGAAGAAAAATAAGAAGGTTGGAAAGCCCTAGAAATCCTAGAAACTGAGCCATACTGGCACGGCCGCTTTTTTCATCATCTTCATCAGGTAATTTCTTGCGAATGAGGGTAATATAGACAGAATATAAGGCCGCCGAGACAAGAGCAAGTATGTCTCCGAGGAGAGGGTTTGAAGCAATTGCACTTAGAGCAGTTCGTGAGTCACCAAGGCTGACAATTATCGTTCCTCCCATGCAAAGAAGAACGCTAATAAGCTTAACCAAAGTAAACTTCTCCCCTAAGAATACTAGGGAGACCAAAAAGGTGAAAAGGCTGGATGAACTGCTTAAGATGGTATTCGACTGCACGCAACAAACACAACAAATCAATCATATCGAAATGACGAAACAAATGGACAAATTTAAGAAGCCAGGTGTGCCATGCAACACTAAAAATCCTTACTGTAACGGTAGTATACTTCAATGACAAATTGAAAGTCAGCTGTGCAAAAAACCAAAACGGGGAAATCAGTAGGCTAACTTTAGCCACTCGAGTTCGTGTCCAGCGCCCTTTTCCATCCACTTGCTTATCTACCGTTTCAGTGACATTGTCTTGAGTTGCTGAAATCCCAACAAGCTCGTATGATCCAACTTTCGGTTCTACACCAAGATTAACTTCCCCCTCTTCCGCATCCGCTATCACAACTCCATCAGTCTCCTCAAGGAGAGTGATTTGCTCCGACTCTCCTAACCTTTGCAAAGGGCTACTCTTCCTACTTCTCCAAATCCAAAACCCCTCAAAATTATCTTCCAAATACCGCCCGATTTCAACCAAGGGAATGTAGATCACAAACAGAGAATTGCATATGTATGTGATGAGGAACGGGGACACACCGGCATCTACAACCGACTGCACTACGAAACTGGCAGCTATCCAGATGGATGCAACAGCAAATATGTATATCAAACCCAAAACCCACTTCCAAACTTCAGTTTTCATATCTTTCCAGTCAACCCCAAATCAAATCAGCTCCCAAATCTTGCTAAAAATTAGCCATCCGATTCCCCAAGCCCGAAAACACAAACATTCTGCACTTTCAGAGAATTATAACAACTTCCCATGTCACTAATAAACCCAAATCTCACCTGAAACCACCAAAAAGAAAGAGAAAAAAAACTACCAAAATTAAGGGGGGAAAGAGGTGTGGAATTAACCCTATAATACTAAACTGCACCAAGACGCAATCTTTTCTATACCATTACGATATAAACTGAATTAATCTCAGACCTAAAATCCCAATATGTGAAATATTTAATCAAATTTAAGTTCAATGAGGATTTGAACCCAGAAATAGAAAGATAATTTGAAAAGAAAAAGTATAAAAACTGAAAGAAAAAAAAATACATATATATATATATATAGCGAATTGAAGGGGGATGGAAATTGTACCTGGGACGAGATTAACATCGGATTCAGAGGTTCGTGACTCGTTTTGACGGAAAGAGAGGTACCTGTAATTTTTTTTTTTTTGGTCAAAGTTGTAAGCTTGTAATACAGTTGGATTTTGACCTCTTTTTTCACCGGTCGTGAAGAGACGTACGACGTTACACAATCTAAAGAAATTGATGCGGGTACCGGTCAGCCTCGTTAGTCATTAGTTAGGCCCATCTTCGGAAATATTGTGATGTCTTTTACTTTTCAGCACAAGCCCAAATATGCACAAATAAAATTAGCTATATTGTTGTTAATATTATCTAGGAGTGTGATGGTGTAAATTTAGAAGTAGAATTATGAAAGAATTTGGAAATCCAATTCCTTGTATGGCAAGTAAAGCTCATGTGATTAGTATAAATAAACGCTTAAAGCCACAAAGGAAAAATAAGTGATTACAAACCAACTGAGCTTCATTTTTCTCTCTATTGTCGTTACTCTCCTACCCTAACTCTCTAAATTTTCCTTTAACATTACAAGATTTTTAATTTAAAAAAAAAAAAAAAAACTATCCATTAAGGAGCTAGTTGGCTCCTTCCTGGACCCTATGGAAGAAAGAAAATGTCTTGGAATGCCTCCTTTGAAGGTCGTATGGCAGTCTGGTATGTGTCCTAGTAGTGAACGTGAAGTGTTTGATGAAATACATGCTCATTAGATGTTGTCATGGCTCGACCGATGTCAACAAACATGTCTCGAGAGATGTCGACCATGATTGACAACATGGTTCGACGGCATGGCTCGACAATAGTCTACAAGCTCATAAAGGGTGTAAACACGAAGTTTCCTACGACAAATGAGACAAGAATACGTGTACAAAGATTTTTTTTTTTTGTATTAATGAATTTGGGGTTACAATCTCTTTTTAATTTGATCCTCTGATTCAATCTCCATAAGGTGTGGATGTGTGATGTTGTTGATTCAAGGGTCACGATGACTTGATATTGGATGCACGGTTGCCTTAAGGATTTGGCTTGTGGCGAAGGAAGAACCGGCACGTGTAGTTGTGCTTGTTCATTCTTGTGATGGTTGTTGATCCAAGGGTTGCGGCAACTTGATCTTGGATGAATGGTCGCCTCAAGGATTTGGCTTGTGACGAAAGAAGAACCGGCTCGTGTGCTTGTTGATTCTTCAAAAGTGTTGGCAAAGAACGAAGAGAGCTTTCTCGATCCTTCGGAATTCTTGGGAATTTGGGAGGTTCGATGCTTGAGAGCTTTAGAGTTTCCAAGCTCCAAGGACACAATTCTTTGTGAAGTGAATTCTCTTCCAATTTGGGAGTAGAGAAATGTATTGGTGAATTGGTCCCTTGAAATGAATGCTTTGGGTTCCTATTTATAGAATTTCCAACTATTGATTTTGGATTTAAATAATCAAATCAAATAAATCATTTCTGTCAAGTGTTGACACGTGTCCTTCTTGATAACTCTTCCGATTTTTGTTAAGTCACATGTGATGTGTACAATTTATGTGACACGTGACATGTATACCTTGGCACGTTAAAATTTTAATGCGTTGGTCAACATTTATTTCACCGAAATTCGATATCTATAAAGTGCTCAATAAAATGTCTCTCACTGACAAAACTCGGCAAAAATCATTCAACATTGAACTAGAAAAAAAATTGCGCCCTTGTGCGCACTGTTTCTTTCATGAGAAAGTTATGAACTTTTACACTACAAACCTATGAGGTATGATTCCTAGATTCATTACATATTAGACAGATACTAAACAAACAATAAATCGTATCAATATTATGTGCAATGCCCTTTTATTATCAGTTAGCGTCTCTTTTAGTTCTACTTCTTGGGCCACTTACAAACTCAAGTAATGCTAGAATTATCACATATAATCGCTAATTAATTATTTACGTGGTGTAAATAATTTGATTAACTAAACAACTGATGATAAGTCATTAATATATCCTGGAAGCAATGACAAGTGAAGATCATAAATTGATGAAGAAAAATTCTCACTCGATATAATTTCCTTCTCATTCAATCCGTTTGATTTTTTATCGCGTTTACAACCCGATACATTGTTACAATCTGACATTGCTCATACAAATTTTGAGTAATTCATGAGCAAGCGAATCGTAAAGATATGTTTTACAACAGAAATTAAATGCTCTGTGGAAACAACATTGTACCATGCAACTTGTAGTTTTACAAGGAAGAAGTACTTCCACACCGTGATGCTGCCACTCCATTGTGCCTTGAGCACGAACCCCATTCCATGGCTTCTGCCACAGCGCGTTGGCGTTCGGTTACACTGTCTTCGAGCTGAGAATCCTCGTTTATGACCATTGTTTGATCCGGTGATGGAGAGGGAAGGCTGCTTATAGGCGAGGCAGCAGTGTCCGGACCAGTTCCGAGGACACTAAGAGCACTGACCACATCGCTTATCAAGGGACGAACAGGTGCTTCCTCGTGGAGGCACATTGCTGCAACTGCCATGGCTTGATTTAGTGCTCTCACAGGAAAGTTTCCTTGAAGAAGTGGATCAGCAAGTTCTGGATACCTATTAGGATCCTTGAATACTGGTTGTGCCTGTTATAGACAAAAAAATTATGATAAAAAGTGTCAAAAGATTTCACAGAGACGGACTAGCAGCCCACTACTAATTAGTCGAACACGATATTGTTCATAACTTAACCACCTGCATGGTCTAGCAGGTGTGAGCCTCGGTTTTATACTAGTGAAATCATTTACGTACTGTGTATTATTTTGTCAAGTATCCGGCGATTCTTCAACGCAAAGCACATGACTTGAATAAGAATAAGAAGAAAAATATGTAGGGATATTTACCCAAGCAACTAGATTTTGCTCCCTGGTTGATAGTGTGGTGTCAACTGCTCTCCTTCCAGTGATCAATTCCAATAAAACAACTCCGAAACTGTAAACATCAGACTTGACCGTGAGCTGTCCTGTTCTTTGGTACTCTGGGGCACAATAACCATATGTTCCCATTACTCTTGAAGATACATGAGTCTTGTCTCCAATAGGTCCAAGCTTAGCTAACCCGAAATCAGAGAGTTTTGCATTGAAATCAGCGTCGAGTAAAATGTTGGAAGATTTTAAATCGCGGTAGATAACAGGTGGATTTGCCTCGTCATGCAAGTATTCTAGTCCCTTGGCAGCTCCCAGAGCTATTCTCATTCTTTTGAACCAATCTAGTGGCGTCTGGCCTTCCGGAAGATCTGAAAATCAAGATACGAAACATGAGAAACCGGGTTTAAGCCCTTTGCGGATACAAATGGAAGTAGCTCCAAGATGGAAGGAAAAATCAGTTTACAAACACATCAAAGTAGTACCTAGTAAATGGTCTTCCACAGATCCCAAGGGCATGTACTCGTAGACAAGAAGTCTCTGATCACCATCTGCGCAATATCCGATAAGATTTACTAAATTTTCGTGGTGTAAGAGGCTCAACATCAACACCTCGACAAGAAACTCTCGGTTTCCTTGCAAGCCATTCCTGTCAAGTTGCTTCACAGCCACAACCTGTTCTATTTTGTCAAGTTTTCCCTTGTAAACTCTTCCAAATCCGCCCTCTCCAATGAGGCATTCTTGCCTGAAGTTCTTCGTCGCTGTCGCTAATTCCCGGAATGTGAAAGTTTGCGCAGCAATGTTGTTGTGGTTTACGGGTTCTTTGTTGACATTATGGGCATTGGCTGCTGGATTCTCAGCTGGTGGTGTAGGTTTTGGTTTAGGAACTTCTGCTTATACATAACCAATAATTAGAAAGCTAATAATTTGCCATGCGAAGGGGTAAAAAATCGGAAGAGCAAGACTTGTGATGCAAAACACAGAAGACAAAAATCTAATTTTCAACGATGCTGGGAAGGCTGCATTGGCAAATCATTTCGTCACACGAAACAATCACACGTTACCACAATTTTTATTCGTTAGAAAGGCAAAAAAATCCGACCTACCAGCTGGGGGCGGCCAAGGCTGTTGTGCTGGTGGAACATTGTGTTCCTTCTGAGAAACAGTGGTAGGCAATTGTGCTCTCCTCCCACTATTTGATCTTGTGTTAGATGATTTCTTTTCATGGGATGAAAAGCAAGAAAAGCAACTCATCTCACGCGCAATATAATCGCTTGAAATCTATATAAGAAGTCCTTGCAAATTAAAAAATCTCAGTTTATGATCCATGCAATGTTGCATTCAATCCCAAACTTTTCGATATGATCAACTGCAGATAAAAAGTTGATTACGAAGATCTCCCGAAAAACGAAAGGAATTCTCACAACTCGATGAGGATACGGAATGCTGGGTAGGCTCAAAAGAAGTGTGTCATGAATCTAATTGGAATGCATGGAAAGGGAAGAGGGGGTTATAACCATGAAACTGAAAAAACAAGATTTTGAGTACAACCATGTTTGAATCCCTAGAGCAACTACCAGAAAACTGAAACCATCAAGAAACTAACAGAATCAACAAACTTCCAGGCATGCAAAAGAAAAACCGTCGTTACGATTTCCCGGAAAAAATGGTGAAAGTGTAGGTCAGCAAGAAACCAAAAATAGGTTAATTACATATCTTTTGGTGTTTCCGCAGAGCATGGAAAAGAAGAAGAAAAATGAGGTTGTCAAAGTGTCTGAATTATAAGCAGAAAAACGTCGGAACCAAATCTGCTTAATTAATTATTAATTCCCAAAAAAAGAAAGCTTAATTATTATCTGTGGTGGTTATGGTGTTGTTTAGCATTATGGGATTTTTCTAGCTGCAGTTAAATATAAAAGAAAAAAATAGAAATAGGCCAAATCATGATTTTGGTGCTGTAGGTTGAGCGAAGTTCAGCTTCGGTCTTATTTTAACGTCGTGATCGATTTAACCATTGTTATTTACTAGTTATAGCTCACTCGTGACATGCACGTGAAGGTAAAATTAGACTTTTTTGAAGTGTAAAAACATTACAAACATGTCATCAATGTGATAATTTTGTTGAAAAAATGACGTAATTGTTTTGAGATTGTGACAATTAGTAAACTACGTAGCAATTGAGAGTACATGGATCAAAATAGAACTTCGTTAAAACTACATAACCAAAATCACGACATTCATTTATTCATGCAATCCAACCTTTTCACATAAAGATAAATATTCAAGCATACATTACATAGAGATACCACTCGACAACCCACCCTCCCCTTCAATTTTTCCCAACTGTTTAGGAAGCATTAACCGAAATCTTCACACCACCATCGCAGTGGCCAGGGACGGTGCAGATAAAGTAGTTGAGTCCCTTCGATAATTTGACGCGATCTTTGCCAGTGGTGAATGCCTTAGAGCTTGAAGAAGCACTACAACTACTATATTCATTGGCATCAACAACTGCCACATTGTGGAGGGATCGATCATAGTTGAAAACTGCACAAAAATAAGTTGCCCATGTGTAAAACGAATCAAAACACCGTGTATCGCTAAAGAGAAAATTATATAATGAATGTTCTAGCTAGTATTACCAAGTTCATCGCCGGCTTTGAACTTCTTTCCATCTGTCCAGTTTTCGACGTTGAAACTCCACCCAGATTTGTCACCAACTGTGAAGGTGGTTGTTTGAGCAGACACAATGGTGAGGAAGAGAAAGAGGAGAAGAACATTGGATTGAGTTGCACTGCATCTTCCCTGGTGAGACATTCTTGATGTGATGATATGATAAAATTATCGCATATAAAGTTTACTTATATAATAAAAAGATTGAGGGAATGCAAAGAATGTCGCATATAGGAAGTTTACCAAACTTTAAAACATTAATTCAATAAAAATGGCGCTTATTTTTTGTTTATTCACTTTTCCACAAAATAAAAAGAAGTGCTTGAGAATATATGTTGGACCTTTTTCGATCCATCGAAAAGTGAATAAGAAAAAATAAGCAGTGGATTTTGAAATCCATGATGCTTTTGTATATAGTTCCATATTATAATTAGCAATTAATCATTCCTTCACGGGTCTTGTATGAAGCAAATAAAGAATCAACAAGAACCCAAAACAAAGAGATTCCGGGCTCGTTTGGTAGTGGTTTGATGGAAAGCTGGTATGCTCGTAAGTTTTTGTTAAACACAACAAATTGTAATTAAAGTTGAAGAGCTTGGGGGATAAACATTAAAAGGTATTTTTATATGTACTCCAACAAGGCGTTTTTTATTGTTTGAAAGCGCTCCTCAGTTGTCTAAAGCAAAATTTGTACAAGAGCATCGCCTGAATTTCTCATGAACTTGTATTTTACATTTGAATTGCCCCTAATAATTCTTTTATTTTTATTGAGGATAAAGAATCAGACCCCCAATGAATTTGAAAAGGACCTTTAAGTTTCACTTTAGTACTTGAACCAGTATTGCAAATTTGCAAGACTTGAAATTCAGTTGACAAGTAAGAAAAATTACTATTCAATCATCTTTTTTTTTTTTTTCCAGAAAGAATTTAAAATTTTATTACTACAAATGTTTTTTTAACTGAAAATTTGCGACCAGCACTATTCTATCCATGGCCACCAATTTGACAAAGGATCCTTTCCTTTCTTTTAATTTCATGTCTTAAGATATGGACACTATTGAATCCTATGCCAATATGTAAGTTTTGGATCCTTTAACCCCAAAATTAAGTGATTATAATGTTAAACTAGTGTTCTTCAATTGTGAGCGTGACTTGGAAAACTGCCATTGAGAGAAAAGTCTTGTTCACATGAAAGCATTAAGCCGTTGGAACCAAGTTCGAGAGGCTTATTATCTACTGTATTGGGTTTGTGTAGACCTGGAAAGAGTGACATGGATCGTCGTTCGGGATATAGGGCATGAAAAGGATCTTGTTGATATATTGTTTTCTTCTGGTAGGTAGAAGCAATAGCAATGACATCGTGACAACAGCTCGCACCGTAAACTTGGGAGATAATAACCATGCAGTGCCACTGAAATTGGTCTATGGGAATAAAGAAAAGCGCATAGAAACCACCTTTGAAGTTCATGATGACTTATATATATTCAGAAAAGGTTTACAACTTACATTTGCTAGAATCAACAACAAAAAATGAAGTCTTGGTTATTCATCAAATGAAAGATTACTTTATAAAAAGAAGGGGAAACAACAATGCCAATGGTGGTGGTGGCGGAGGCAGTGGCGGTAATCAGGACAACAATGATGCAGCCAATCAAGGCGACGTACGATGGTCACACTGACGTGGAAGGCAATAACGTGGAAGGTAATGGTCAAGAAGTTAATAGTGATCATGATAATTTCGATCCAGATTATGTGAGGACAAGTGGAATTAGGGTATACAAGCTTGTCCCAAAGAATGACAAATTAGCAGGGCTTCAAAGCTTGGGGGACCAAATTGTTACATTAGTTTTGGCACACCACGGTTCCTTGTCCATTAATCCTGCAGGCAGCGAGTTCAGACAGTATTTCATATAGCATTGGAAACATACATTACAACACAATCAAGTTATAAGAGTAGAAACAATAATGCAGGAAGCAACTCCGAGTTAACTTAGCGATACATTGACCTCGATGGTGGAGTCTGTTAGGATAATTGCTTTCGAGACAATCCAATTTTATCCTGACATTTAGAGGTTTCGTAAAGATCACATATCTCAAATCTCTGTTTGATTTTAACAAGAACTGAATGCATGAATCTCTTCCCAGCTTTCCACTCTTCTCCGAGTTTAAAATATCTGCTATTCTTGCTGCATATTTCTCCTGATTATCCTCTGCTACTTGCTTTGTTTTAAGTTTTAAATACAGCATGGCGTAAACAACAACCTGCATGATAGCGAGAGTGAGGATTTAATTGGCACCAGAACTACCCAAAAAAAAACAAACAAGGAGATAAACTAAATGTGCACACCTCGCTCGTTCCAGGACTAGTATTGACGACACAATTGATGTGAACTTTCCCGTCTTGTAGCCCTATTTCAGTAGTCGTACTATCATCTTCGACAATCAACTCAGTATCAGGTTCTGATATCGACAAGCAAGATTGTCCAGTTCATCGTACCATTGTTGAGCAACACCGACCTGAAAATTCAAAAGAGTAGAAATCCTAAGCTACTTAAAAGGATTAAGCTCTTCCAGATAGGAACCTTCTCTGAAGCTCCTCCTACATCCTCTACCCATTATTGAGACAGATGCCAAATCATCCAAACAAGTCATTAGTTAGAACTGTAAACAATTAGCTGTGGTAATTGTGTAATTAGTTTTAGAAGTTAAGTGCACTAGTGTAACAAGCCTGTGGCTATATATACCATCTTGTACTGTTGTAATTATTCATTCAATGAAAAGCAGTTTGTTACAGAGAGAATTTTCAGTTTCTATACCCATGACACTTCGGTAGCGGCTCCTCTTGTCTGGCGCCATATACAGCCTTCTTGCAACCGTTCTACAAGCTCGGTATCTTCAAGAACCTCCACATTTAACTGTATCAAAACTCTTCCTGTTACATAGTCAAATTATCTGATCAAAGAATCGTTAACATATTAAGTTTGCTTAGTTAACAGAAACAGCATACTCTACCTGAGAACGTCGAAAAAAAAAACACAAAACTGGGAAAGGAAAAAGATTAGAAATGACTGGTAGACGATGGTTTATTTGCATGTTTCGCAAAATCAAAATTTCTCTCCAGTCCACCATGTTTACTTGATGCAAATAACAAGATGTCATTGCTAAGACATGAAATTAGCGCAAACCAAAACATTACCTAGCATATCCACCAAACATGGCTCATTTTTCAACTTTGAATTAATCACAAATCATGGTAAGGCAAAAGATTCAAATCCCAGTTGGACATATCTAGAAAGAGAGGCAGAACCAACTCACATGTCACACGAAATAGTGAAATACAATATCAACTAAGAAAATAAGAAGCGTACTTAAGATTAAGAAAAATCCCTGGTAATAACGAACTAAAAGATTCAAGATGATCAATCACTCCATGAACTCCACTACCACTGTCAAATGAGCAAAAAATATGAAGAAAATCATAAGAAAACAATTCAAGAATACATTGCCACATAATCGGAAAATGACAAAAATGAAAGAATATTGGATGTATAAGGAAACTAGTTTGTATATCATTGCCTTCATAAACATACGTAGTATATACTTTCTCCAATGAGGAAGGCAACCAATACGGCAGTCCAAGAATTCCAAAATTTTGATAACCGGAAGGTTGAACGTACTCCAGATTCTTCACTTAGTTTCAAAATCCTCTGTCCAACTTCAGAATTAGCATTGAAATGAGTAATTGAGTATTATAGACAAAGTACAAAACAAATTCACTTGAAGAGGTAAAATAGGTACCCCCATATCACAAAGGATTACGTGATTCTGCAAGGTGGTCAATGAAGATAGTAGGCCAGCATATGGGAGCTGCTCTGGTGAACAAATAACATTGGTTTGTTGCTGCAACCAATCATGTGGCATCTGTTTCAACAGCGCTACTTTTTCCATGACCTGCTGTCCACAGACCTCCAAAATCTTGGGGAACCCTTTTCAAGTCATGATGTTAGGCTCCATTAAATGTAATAATATATATATAAACAAGAAAGAAGAAAAAAAGAAGCAAACCTCTGATGACTTCTTTTATCTCTCCTGAAGCCAAATTTAGGATCCACAGAGTATTAAAGCTGCCATTCAAATTAATTAATCACATCAATGCCTATAATAAAAGTTAAAACAATAAAAGACAAGTGACCCAGGATTTATTGATTAAGATTTAAGAAACAATGACAATTGATGTGTTGGTTTTACCTTCGGTTCATAACATCGAGACTGTCATCAATAGATTTCATCAGATGCCAAGGATACATCAATGATTGTAAATCAAATCCTTCAGTCCTTGTATGGGCATTGCTTCTCAAAACTAGCTTGGTTGTGATCCAGGTACAAAGTTGATTACTCTTCTTAGCAGTGTCTCCCACTGGATAGAGGGTTTCCAGAACCCGGCTCTCCATATCAGCTTTCCTTATGGCATGATTCTTAGTAGATAGGGACCCCACATGCAAACTAGTTAGTTACAGGAGTATGCAATACAGCTGCAACATCATAAATCACATGTTATACCTTACAAACCAATGCATACCTCTGAATCAACAAAATATAGGCAATCCTCAGCGGCATCATAAAATGAAGCTGCAGGGCGTGCCAACTTGGCACATTCAAAGTTTCCATCCTCAAAACCTGGGGAGGAACCAATATGACACACAAAGAATGAAAACCCAAACTTGAGCTTTCTTCATTTTATCTTTAAAAGTTTCAAGAAAACTACAATAAGACAAATACTAAGATTAAATTTAACATCTACATGGAAACACAGCAACTTTCTAAGAAGAACTCAGTAAGGTCAATTTTGTGAAAACCAAAGATTAATCCCATAGAAGCCCTTCCCGTGCGGACAAGGGAAACTACTTTTGCTTGTTTTAGAGTCGAATACATAAAGTGAGCAAGTCACATAAAAAAAATCCTGATAAACATATATGGACTACAAAATCATCAAATCCTGGTTGAACAAAATATTGAACCGCCAATAACTGATAACTGAGTTCCTAAAGTCGTCTTCTTAACAAGTGAGTGTTAAAATCTTTGACCCTGTCAATGTAATGTGCATAAATTGATGATTACTAAGAAAATTTAGAAGAGCAGTCCACA